TGCTGGGAGCGGTAAAAGTTTTATAGGCAAGTATATGGAAAATTTAGGACACAATACACTTTTTGTAGTGCCTCAAAATATGTTAAAACAAGAGATTGAATGCGAAGCGGTGACAGTAAATACATTCTTTAGCATTCCAGTTGATAAAGGGGATGACCTACCAAAGTTTGATTATTCAGATTTTGATTGTATAGTGTTTGATGAGATTTATATGTCCAGTCCTTACATATTGAACAAAATAAGGGTGTTTGCAAATAACAATCCTGACATCGTAATTATAGGTGCCGGTGATGTCAAGCAACTGCCACCGATTGAACCTTTCACTAATACTCAAAACGCAGGCGAATACATTGACAAATGTATTGACATTATTTTTAAATATAATATATTTTTAAAGATATGTAAGCGAGTAGGTGGTAAGGATACAGAAGAAGGAGAAAGAAACAGAAAGAAACTGAATGAAATCTATGATGACTTTTGGATTAAAAAGATGGCAGTTGAAGAATGGATAGTTAAGCATTTCAAATTTACTAAAGATGTTATGAATAGTGAAAACAACATAGCATATACAAATATTAGATGTGAGGCAGTATCCAATGAGATTAGAAAAAGATTAGGTAAAACATGCAAATATGAAATTGGAGAAATCTTAATATGCAGACTTTACAAAAAGGACAAGGAAGGAAAACTGAATGTTAATATTAGGTGGAAGGTTGTTAATAACGAAGGATACAAGATAACAATACAAGATATCAAGGATGCAGAGAACATTAGAACACTTGACATTGATATTGTAGATAAGCATTTTAGATATGCCTACTGTGCTACCACTCATAGCAGACAGGGGACATCAATCAGTGATAATATGACCATTCACGAATGGAACAAAGATTATTTAGTTTGTAGGGAATGGTTGTGGACGAGTATCACACGAGCGAGGGATTTTAACAATGTCTATTTTTACAAGAACAAAGAGGGAGATGAAGATATGTTTAAGAGTTTGGTAATCAACTATTTTAAAAACAAAGTTGAAGGATATAAACAGCAAGATAGAGTAGCAAAAAGAGAAATAGACGAAGAGCAATACATTGACGAAAACTGGTGCTTAAAATACTTCAAATCCTGTTGCCAAAACTGCGGAATTAAATTTAATCTAGATACAAGAGGAGGAAAAATAAGTTCTAACTTCACTGCTCAACGTTGTGATAATGAGTTATGCCACACAGTTGAAAACTGCACCGCCTTCTGTGTCTATTGCAATTGTAGTGCGTCATGAATAATTTTGAAAATGAGTGTTTCAAAATTATTTTATTAACTTAATTAATGAGTTCAACACAAGAAATTATTAAGAGTGTATATTATGATAGAAGCGGTTATGGTTCAAAACAAACAACCCTCAAGGATGCTAAGCAAAAAGATAGTAGTATTACAATTAACGATATCAATGAATTCTTTAGTAAGAATGTAGAAGAAAAAAGAAAGATGAGAGGTGAAAATAGTTTTATTGCTCCGCATAGTTTCTGGGAATTTCAAGTTGATATGTTTTTCATTTCTAAAAATGATTTGGAAAATCAAACATTTAAAATTGGTATGATATGCATTGATATATTTAGCAAATATATGCATATCGTGCCAATTAAATCCAAGACACCGCCAGACATTTTAGCAGGAATGATGGAGAATATCAATAAGATGGGTGGCAAACCGAAATTAATTTATACCGACGAGGAAGGCAGTTTTTTTAATCAATCAGTATTAGATTATTTGAAGGAGGAGAAAATTGAATTACATAGAACTAGAGGTCATCCAGCATTTGCGGAGCGTGGAATTCAGACTTTTAAAGACCAACTGTTTAAACGAGTTGAAGCGGACAAGAAAAATGGAAAGCAGAATATCCAATGGACGGATTATATTTTTGAAATATTATTAACTTACAATAATAAGAATATTCATTCCGCAACTAAATTTACACCGAAGGACGCAAGAATGAAAAAGAATGAATTTGAAGTAAAAATGAATATTACAATGCAAGCAAGAAATACTAGAAAATACCCTGAGTTGTCAGTGGGTAGTAATGTAAAAATAATGAGGAAGAAAGGCATAAGCGAAAAGGCACATACCAGTCATTGGTTAAAAGAAGTATTTAAAGTAAAATCAATTGATAGTAAATTAGGGCAATCTTACTTTCATTTGGAAGGAAAAACTAGTCCTTATTTGAGACACGAATTATTAAAAGTTTAATATTAAACGAAATACAGTTAAAGAAAAAACGCCTTATAATATTAGCGAAATGTTGTTTAACTATAACAAGTGCGAATGCTGTAAATGCAAAATGAATGATTTGAGTTTAACCTTGCATCATATACTACCAGCAAATGTATGTAATAAAATAAGTGAATATAATGTATACTGCAATCAATGCTGTATAACAAGAGACCTTGAAAAGTTTTTTCTTGAAGAACATAAGGATAAGGGATATACAAAGTTTCAATTACAATTAAAATTCTTTATGCGACACCAAGCAAGATTTCCTATACACTTTTACCAGAAGATTTCCAGAAAGTCATTTGAACATGAAATTGATGAATTCTTTAGTAATATAGATTTAATTAGGAGGTTTGGAGGAATAAACGCAATTAAACCATACAAAGCATTTGTCAAAAAATACCGTTATTTGTTTGAATGGATTGACTGGCATTTATTAGACAAAGATAAAATAAACGAAGTCTTGAACGAATTTAGAGTAACTGAATATAGTATATGGTATTACTACAACACTAAATATAAAGTATGTCTATTGTTGTATTTATTCTTTTGGGAATATATTTATTCAATAATAGGAAAAAACAATATCAAATATATTTACATTGGTGATATAGATAAATATGTAGATTACATATTTGAAGACATATTGCCTGACCATTATTTTAATCCATAAACCTTACAATAAAAAACATTGTAAGATTTATGATTTCAAAATTACTTGAAGAAATAATAACTTAATATATTATAGTGAAATGAGTGATACAGTCAATATCAATGCTAAAAATATATTGAAAGACAAATTTATGAGTTATAAATGCGATGACTGTGAAATGCTAAAATTACCAATTGAACAGGGTTTTGCAAATGGTGTTTGTAATACTATTTGTCAATATATAATATGCAATAATTGCAATAGAATTATAAAAAAAATTGATGATATGAATAACAAGGATATTGATATTATAAATAATGAAACTATTGATGATGATTTAGAAATATTTGTATTTATTGAAATGAATAATTTCTTAACTATAGAAGGATTTGATAATTTATTAGAATGTAACGACGAAGGATATAATAATGATTTTATTTTTAAGTATTATAGTATTGTAAAACAATTATACAATATGTCTTTTAATATTAAACGTTTAAAATATGTTGTATTGTTTGATTTTTTAAATGAGTTTTTAAATGATGAGTATAAAACTCACGAACTTAGATATACAATAAAACGTGCGATTGGAATAATGGGAATGTTTAGAAAACAAATAAAAAATAATTTTTATAATGAAACAACATGTGACAAAATAATAGAAAGAATTAAATTAATAATTTAGTTTTAGGCGAAATAGTCCTAAAGAAAAAACACCTTATATTAATAGTGAAGAAATGAACGGTATTGAAATCAATAAGTATATTAATAAGAAATGCTATGATTGTTGCCACTTTAAAAAGGAAAATATGGAATTGTATAAATTAAATTTACCTAATGGAATAATAAATAATATTATTGATTATGCTTTGGGTGAAGAAGATTTATGTGGAAATTGTAAAACCTGGAGAGATAACCAAGCTATAATCAAATGTTTGTTGAGATTAAAAGGAAGACATAATAGAAATGTAGAAGATGACATTTTGATATTTTTAACTGTGTATAAATTACCACCTTACGTTTATGTTAAACAGTTTCTTAAAATCAGTAAGAAAAAATATGTAATGATTCATGATATATTATTGATGTTGTGTCATAGTCAAAAGAAAGGAGATGATATTAAAGAATATATCAAATATTATATTGAAATTTATAAAAAGTTTAATGTTAAAAACACAGTGAGAGATATTAATATTATTTTTAAAATGATGTATGACATAAGTGAGATTTGTCAATTAAATTATTATCCTGAACTTAAATTATAAATTAACCCATAAACCTTACAATAAAAAACATTGTAAGATTTATGTTTTGAAATTATGGGGATTTTATATTTTGGGATTTTGGGAAAATATATTTTGGGAATTTGGGATTTTGGAAAAATATATTTTGGGAATTTAGAAAAATATTTACAAAATTTATGTATCAAATCTTGAGTTGAGGTTCTGTTATGAATTGATGAAAAAATATTATGTGAATTGGTCGGTTGAGGGGATTTTATCCAACTGGGGCCTGGCCTTTGGTAGGTGGTTTGGGGTGTGCCATTCTGGCCAGGGCATTTTCGTCGTTTTTGTTGTTTTTTCCCCAAGAGGCGTCAAAAAAACCGACAAACACGACCCTTAGCCTAGGTCCTCCGGTAGAGAGGTTAGAATAAGAGTACCCACTTTTTTTTGTAGTCTATTTTAGTAGGGGAATCCTCCGAACCAAAAAGGTTGGGTGAGAAAGGGTACCTAACTGGGGCACCTATAGTGTCAAACCTCCGCATTAGAGAGATTGGCCTAGCCTTCGGCATCAACCCCACATGCAACTTGCAAGCCGCGATTCTGGGCCACTCTTGCGAGCATTCACAGATAGGTTCCTGAACTCCCTTCAAAAAGTCAAACATATTTTGTGTACCATGCCCAGGGATCTTTCTGGAGGTGTCCTTCTTCCGGAAAAAAAAGGCTGGAAAACCTTTCTTTCGGACCAAGCTGACTTTACCGCTGTATTTGCACCCAAAACCACCCCAGTCGCCCATGGCAAAAGGGGGCTTGGCTCAAAATGCTTCGTGACCCCGAGGCTTTGGTCACCGGGTCTTCCATGCCTGGTTTTGTAAGCCTCCGCTTCGCGGTACCACTCCTGCGATCGATCGCAAATCACTTCGAAGGAGTTGGGCGTTTGTTGGCTTGGAATTGGTCGGAGCCCGGAACTTCCGGGTCCCAAGGAAACTGAAGGAAGGTCTTCGGCTTCGCTGGGCAACACCATCGGAGAGAAACCACAAATTGAAAGCAAGCAAATCCCTGGTACTGACGTGCGTACCCACAGACTGACAGCCTGCAAACAGCCGCACCAATGGGCGCTTGCGCTGCGAACTCATGTCTGTGTAGGTGCATTCAGCGGCCCTTGCTAGCCCGCTGAAGGCAAGAATTTGCGCGGGAGGGTGAAGCCTCTCACAAACCACGCTCAACTCTCCAGTAAAAAACGGGTCCAACGATAGAACAACTGCTCTCAAATCCTTGGGATGCTTGAGAGTGACTGGCCTCACAACACTGACATCTAGTGGCTCAAAACGCCGGTCGAGTATGCCAATCCCTGCGGTGATGTGAACCTATCCTACGTGCTGAGAACTGAGAAAGCTGTACAGCGAGAGGCGAGAGGGAAGGGAGCTATTAAAAAAACACATGGAAACCAGTTTGATTGCTCCTTGGGACCTCATCCTAACCCTGTCTCACTTCCGCGGATTGGCCGCAAAAAGCAACCACGCTTGTTGCTTCCCTGTAAAATGGTCCAAACCCGAAAAGTGACCCAAGTCCACAGGCCCAAACCCGAGCGGCAGTCCAGCTCCGGCGCGTCCGAAGCTTTGGCCCCGGCCTCTGGCTGGAGCTTCCGCAGTCGGACCGTGACGCCGGTGATCTGTACAGAAAGCCTCGGGAGGGACCCCCAGCTTCAGCAAGTTCTTTCGGGTTGGGCAACACCATCTCTTGGTTGACGTTGGGTTTGGGGAGCAAACATTGATTTTTTTAGCAGTTAAGTGGTTGGACTTCAACCACTAAACCACAATAAGCAAAAAAACAAAATGTTTCCCAACAACAACCATGATCTCTGGAGAGAAACACAAATTGAAAGCAAGCAACTCCCTGGTACTGACACCACGAGTGACAGCCTGCAAACAGCCGTCTTTCGGAGGAATCGACCTGCAGCCCAGGGGCAGCTCCTTTTTTTCTCCAAAATGAGGCAACAGTTGCCCTACTGCTCTAAGAGCCCGATCTGAGGGTTTCTTTCGGTAGATTACACCCAAAAAAAGACACCCACTGGGTGACCCAGAAGGGTTCAAAAGAACACGGAAATCATGTGCCGAAATGGGGTCAATACCCAGTAGGTGTATTTCCAGGGTGTAATACAAGAATACAAGAATCCTTAGAAGCCAATCTGAAGCTGACAGGAGGGTTGACTGCACGTCCACTTGATGACATGTCATGTAGCCGATCAACCAAGCCAACCAGTAAAGCGATCAAACAAACAATATGGTTCAACCTGCTTGTTTCCTTCCTCCTGTCCCCAGCGCATCTCAAAAAACAAACCCTGACTCACGAAGGCGCATCGTTTGCCCTGGAGGGCCATAGGATCGAGTGGAACATGTCTAAACCTGGGAGAGTTTCGCTGAAGATCCATCTGCAAATTTCTGCAGGGCCATCATGGAGCATGTCCTTCACCCAAGCTTCGCCGATGGATAAAGAAAGTACCCCCCCCCCCTCACAGCCGTTGCAGGGCTGCCGCAGAACCTGAGGCTAGGGATCCGGTAAAGGACCTCCATGAGGTCGGGTTGGCCAAAGCTCGCAGAGGCGCCTTTCTGGGCACCCGGACGTGTCTGGGCTGATTTCAGCCTTGACCTGCACGGAGTTTGGGGGGTCAGCGCAAGGACGCACCAGGATCAAAGCTTGCGCAAGCGCGCAACCAGCAACAACAGAATTCGAGCATGACATCAGCAGTGCCTCCAGGCATAGGTTCGGTTTGGCTTTTGCGGTTCCAAAGTGTTGTGTCGCCTCTCGGTTGCATTCTGCTTCCCTGCTAAAAGTTTAACTTTTAGTGGTGTAATGGAAAACCCATGAGTTGGCAAAAAGTTATTAAAGTCCTAACATCCAAGCAAAATGCAACAAAGACTAGATCACCGAGCAGTGCCGGTCCTTGAAAGACCTCGCCTGGTCCACTCGGCCCTCCTGCACCGTGAGGGGCAAGATAGGGCCCACGAGGAAGCGCCAGACCGCGCTGGTCAGCGCTACATCCTGCGAGGAAAACCGTCAGACCCCCCCCCCCCCCCCCCCGCTTTTTGGGCTCGGATGCCCAGTGGCCGTGCGAAAAAAAAAAAAAGAAGGGGGCACCTTTGCTTTGTTGGTTGATCTGAAAGGGGAACCCTCACCCCAAAAAGGAAAAAGGGGCACCGCTGGGCAACAGAGTTGGTACTTCGAGAGGGTATTCATTCATGGCACGGCGAAATAGGGAACAAATAGTACATGAGGGAGCAAACCAGAGAGCTTTCGTGAACCAATATCAGGATCGGGTCGATGAGATGATACTACGGTCCCGGAGTTGCTTGCTCTTGGTTCACTGCTTTGGCCTTACCCCAGAGGCATCTTGCCGGGCTATTGCAACTATCTGATCCACTCTGACCACGCTGTGCTACACATGATGTCTCACGTGTCACGCTTCTTCGGATGTTCTAGAGGCTGACCGCCCCTTTCTTTTCAGAATCCTTGCTCGCCGTTTTGTGATTGGCGGCTTTAGAGAAGAAGCCGGAAGCCGGAAAAACGATCATTTCACCCCGCATTTTGGGAAAGGCTGGTGGAATCTTCTTGGGCAGGGACGAATTCTGAGGAGTCTTCTAGGGGTGTCAGCCTAATCAGGCTTCACCCAGCACCCCTTGCCCAGCGCAGCGTTCAGTGGGCCTTGAGCTCAAAGCGCACGTGGTTGTGGCTGACATGTTCGAAGATGTAGTCCGAGTTGTCCAAGTCCAGCCCCACCTAAACAGCCATTGACTTTGGCTCTGCTTTATATAAAATTGTATAGGAACTGGGTGTGGCTCAAAAATACAAGGCTTACGCAGGTTTTCGTCTTTGGTTCCATTTACTAAGCTAGTGGTACGCTTTTGGGAGCCACAGCCTCACAAACCCCATGAACCAAGGCTTCCGTCGCCGCGCTTCGGACCACCTGTCTGACTCCATGCTGCCGCATCCATGGGACGGCTGGGCTCGGGATCTGTCGTGCCCAGCTCGCGGGGGATTTTCTTCTGGCCCAAACTTTTGAGGGGACCCTTGTTTGGATGGTTTTGTCATGGGGGCTGGGGAAAAAAGGGAGGGGGAGGGGGAGGGAGCCCAAATAAGCCCTTATTAAGCCCTTAATAAGGCCTCAAAAGGAAACCGCCCAAAACGGGGGTCCCCAAACAGACAGCCCATGTCGGGAATCTTCTCAAGGCACCACCGGGCTCCAGGCATAATCGTGCAGCCAGCCGCGCAGTGTGCGCAGGACAATTCCGATGAACATAGTGCCTGCAAGGCAGGGGGCCATAATGGGCCATAGATCCAGTGACTTCCATTTGTTTTATCCCCTGGAAACAATGAGAAAATATGTCCAGTAGTGAAATCGATTCCCTTTCAAACCAACAGGAGAAATATGACATAGTCTTCAGCAAATGGAAGCTGAAGTAAAGCATGGCGTGCTGTGTTGAGGCTCGGCACAGTAATTACCCCTTCTTCCGTTGTTTCTTTGCGGCGAAACCGAGAGGAAACCATCCAATTTAGGGTCGAGCAGCGGCAACACTAGACTCGTGGCAAACCTCTCTGGCCTTTGGGGTGTGACAAAAACGAGGGATGTGGTCTTTGTTTTGGTCCACCCTGTGAACCCATGCAAGCAGAAGTACCCTGCAATGACACACCCAATTATTCGAGAAACAAAAAAAGAAGAAAAAGACAGACCCTTGGGAGGCTTGGAGGCTCGCTGCCTTGCGTGTCAACCCCTAGCAGCCCCTTGGACCCTACATATGAAATCTTTAAACCCCGAAAGGCCTCAGTCTTGGGCTCCTACCCTTTTGGAGTCTCTTCAACTGGGCTGTCCTCAGATCCCCGCTAAAGGTTTAACTTTTAGTGGGTCTAATGTAAACCACCACTGAACACTAAAAAGCAAAAAAGCTAAGGGGATGGCTGGGAGCCATCAAGTCAATGTAGACACGCCCAAACCCCTTGCTGGCCAGATCCGCCCCCTGCCTGCATCGGGCGGGGCATCAAGCTCTACTTCGGCGCATTTCGCCGACCAAGTTGGCCATTGCTCTCCGCTTGGAACATACAATGAGCAAACAAATGGAGTGACAACAACTGCTGGTACAAAGCGTGAAATGACACTTGGACAAAGCAAACTGGGCCAACTCAACCGTTCTGCTTGACCCAAGAACACACCGTTGGAACGGATGTGAATCTGCCCCGTCAGGCTCACTCTGATCTTGCTTGCTTCCCCGGTTCAGTTCAACTGTGAGCCAAATCCACCGCTCGCTCCTCGTCCCGGGCTCCCCATGCCCCATCCGCCTGGTGCCACAGGATGGTTTCGATGGCCAGGGATTTAAATGGCTGTGGCTCAAAAAACCGTACCTCAAATCGAACCCTAAGTGGAAAAATACGTCAAACCCTGCGGTTTGCCCCACCTGTTTCATTTTGAGGCACACTCAAATAAGGAACCCCCTGAAGAGTGGCTGGTGGACATAAAACCCCCAAGAGGGTCCCTCATGAACATTCTTCATGCGCACATCCACTTCTTTTTTTTGCTCCGCCACGATGGACTAAGCCCATGGACAACTCTCCTCGCCTTTTAGTCATCCTAACATCTCGGAGTCGGCAGCTTTCGGCCTCACTCGGAGACTAAAAACGGCCCAAAAGCCAACTCATCGGCTCCGAGATCGTTCTCTTTCGCCTTTGTCACCTGCGAAAGCATCGATCGGCCCAACTCATCGCTTGTCTTTTGCCGCACTCCACGGAATAAATTTAGATACTCGCTGGGACTACAAATCAATCCCCAATCTACCGCTAGTTCCCCAGGTTCCACCAGTCAAACTGATCTGACGCCGTCCTGCCTTCGGGCCCTCCGATAGGCTGTGGTCCCCCAATGGGCTGAGGCCCACTGGGCGGTGGCGTCTTCGCTGCGGGGGGCGTTGGTGCGGGTGGGCCAGGCGGGCCGGGCGGGCCAGGTGGCCCGGGCGGACAGCCCATGCCCGGGCAACCCATACCCATGCCGCCCATGGGCATGCCCATGCCCATCCCGCCCATGCCCATTCCCATACCCATGCCACCCATGCCCATGCCACCCATGCCCATGCCGTTGCCCATGCCGCCCATGCCGCCCATGCCGCCCATTGGCGCATTGCCCATTGGAGGAGACCCCGAGCAGTTGGAGCCCATCGGACCATTCCCGCCCATGCCTCCTGGACAGCCCATTTGCCCCAGTTGCCCACCCTGCATGTTTCCCATTTGCATCATTCCGGGCATCATCATGCCCGGCATCATCATGCCTGGCATCATGCCCCCCATCATCATTGGCATACCCATGCCTCAGCCAAGCGGCGAATCAATGGCTGGGAACACAAGAGCAACAATTCTAGATTCCCCATTCTTTTCAACCACCGTTCTTTTTCAAGAACCAGCTGTTTCCCCTGGGGTTCTGATGGTTTTCTGAAAAGAAGGATCCCTGAAAAGAATGGGGAAGTGTCCCCTAGAACAATGCACTTTGATGCGCTGATCCGTCACTCCTGAAATCTTCCAAGCTGCCCATAGGCATGCCGCCCATCATGCCTGGGGCTCTGATCAGGTGACACTCCAAACCCCGACGTAGAGGGGCACACATTTTTAGTGTTGCTTTAGGAATTGAACAACAATAATTCCATGCATTGACTGCACGGAAAAGCATCCATGGCAAAATTGCGTCGTGCAGCCCCGGCCTTGCATCATGCCTTTCATCATGCCTGCAGGCTCATCATCAGAGTCCTCCTCCTCCCCTGACTCGCCTGCGGCTGGCAAGCAGGCTTTCGGCTTCCCGATGCTTCGCAAACTCATCAGCCCCCACCAGGACGGATTTGTTTTTACTAATTGGCACGAAATATGTTACGACCAAGCATAGGGAACCCGCTTACGCCAACATCACGTCCTGAGTTGCATGTGTGGAAGTACAGAACCTCTGCGTTTCGGCGCATCGCCACGTGCACAGGCCTTGTTGTTGCTGGCCGAGCGCAACCTGCCACAGTGCTTGTACAAGGAAAGCGGAATATAGCTCTGGTTTGCTCTACTTTCCCAGGTGAGAGCCTCACAAATGTTCCGGAACCTTTGGCGTCCTTGTGGAATGGGTCACACTCAGGTGGCTTCCCTTCCAATCGGAAGGATGTGAATTCTGTGTCAATGCCATCCGAGGCAGATACTGGCTGGTGCTTGGAGATCTATTTGGTCAAGTGGCCATCCCCGGCACCATCCCCCGCTTATTTGCTCGACCCTGAATGCCGGCCCATGGTGCAGCCATGTTTCAACAAGCAACTCGTTGCAACGAATCACTGGATTCGCAAAGCTATAGGGAGGTCTCACGCTGAGACTAGTGACACCCACTGTTCAAAGTGGCTTAAAAAGGACACTTGCTGAGTGGATGGCTCAAAAAAAGTCCAAACTTCATATTTACCACGAAAATGGTCTTCCCAAAAAGTTTAAAGTTCATGAACTGAGGAAGTGAGACTGCTGTGGATGTTGGCAGCACAGGGTTTCTAGATATTGTTTGTCCACGGTATGACCACGGTCTGACCACGGTACTTTTCGGCCTGAACGGTTGAAAAGGAGGATGAACCCGAAAACCGACAAGGCAAACAATCGAAAACTAACCGTTGCTCGGTGGGTTGGATTCGTTTGGGGATTTGAGTCCCTGGTTTAAGCAGGTAGATAAGAAACCAGCACTTGACCACCAAACCACCGGGCTCCAAACCACCAACTACTGTGGATGGACAAGATCCATTTACGCACTGTTCAGAACCCCTCGAATCTTGATTCCCCTGTGTTTCATTTTGACAACAAACCTTCTGGTTTCAACCAAACCCTGCCATGTTGACTCCCACCATAAATTACCAACCACCTTCTAAGGTTTCAACCATGGCAACTCATTTCGTGGTGCCAAGCGCCGGAGTTCGATTTCGCCCATCCCTCCAGCTTCGGCGTCGCTTCGGCGTCGCTTCGGCGTCGGTTTCAACGCGCCTTCGGCTCAAAGGGCACCGAGGGGCCCAGGGGCCGCGGCGGCGCGCCCTGGCGAATCGGTGTGGCTGCGAGAAGGGAAGGAGAGACATGGAATGAACCCGGACCGTCCCTTCCTTTCCTGATTTGGGGGAATCTTGGGTTCATGTCTTCCGCCAGCAGCTTCTTCCTTTCCTTTCCTGCAGGAAGATTGGGTTCATTTTTTCCGCCATGCTTGCATCAAGTGACTCTGGACCTACACAATTGCTTGTTCATAGGGCCGTGGGGGGTGGTTTTGGCCCCTCCAAAAGTGGCCTGATTCCCGACTAAACCCATAAACAGGGGTCGACATGAACTAGGTCCTCCAGTAGAGAGATGCTCGAACAAGGGTACCCACTTTTGTCTTTTTGGTCTATTTCGTAGGGGAACCTCCCAACCAAAAAAGGGTGAGAGGTCGGGCACCTAGCTGGGATACCTAGCATAAGTAGGGAATGAGACATGGAACGAACCCCAACCATCTGCTTCTACTCCAGCAGCTCCGAAGATGGCCTTCATTTCCTGGGGGGAATTTCGGGTTCCTTCCCTTCCCTACGGAGCAGCAAGATCAGGATCGGTCTGGTTTTAGGTACAGGGTTCTACCTGTTTGACTAGACTTCAACGGGGGGAAAAGGTCCTCTAAACGGCGAACCCACAGGTTTAAGTCCATCTTGTAGCGCAAGAGTAGAACCCTCGTCAGGGAAGGGCCAAAGAAACCTTTGTCTTGACCCCTCAAATTAATAATGCTAATAAACAAAAACCAAAAAGGCCGGCCCCCCCAAGTGGCGCCAGAAATCTTGACAAACCTCCAACAAATTTAAAGCGATTCACCAATGTAGAGCTTGCCGCTGGCAATTTTAAGCAGGGATTGGGGCGATCCTTCAGGCCTTTGGCTTCTCAAAATGCCACGAGAACGGCACAACACGACCGGAGGGAGTCCGATTTCGTCACAAAGGGGCGATGGTAGTGGGTTGGAGTTAGTGAAAAACAGGATTAAAACCACTCAATAAGAAACAACAAGGCGAGTGGAAAGACTGGGCCAAACCACACAAAAACCACCAACAAATCACCAAACAGCCACCAAAAAAGCACACACAAACACCAAAAAACCACCAACCAACCAGACACAAACACCAAAAACACGAGAAAGCCGGGGCCCGGGCGGTGCGATCCGGGGTCTTCTCCCGCTTCTCCGCATGGTCGCAGGTCTGCACGTAGGCGTCGATGAGCTTCTTGGACTTCCTGAGAGGGGTGGAGTGGCTCCTTTCTGGGGCTGGAAAGGTTAAAGGGAGACCACAGCGAGCCCCTTTTTTGGGGTGGGTTTTTAGAGCCCTTTCGTGGTTTGGCTCCTACCTGGGGGTGGTTTCGCTCCTTTCCGAAGCTTTTTTTTTTAAGGAAGAGCGAACCCTTTTTGGGGTTGGTTTTTACACCCCCTTTAGGGGTGGGGTTTAATATGAAGCCCGGATTGATGGGTGGGGGTTGAAAGGGAAACCACAGCGAGCCCTTTTTTTGGAGTGGGTTTTGAGAGCCCCAAATGGTTTCAACCACACAAGAACACGACGTTAAACTGAAGAGAAGTTGCTTCAATCACTGGGCCAGCTGGTTGGTTTTCACTCAAGCCTTTTGACTCTGAAGCGGCTCTCCTAAGGGGATGTAAACACGTGAGTGAATGATGTTGTGGGTCAAAAATATGTACCCACAATGGAATCCAGGTAAATGGAAACATGGACCCGAACCTGCGGTCCCCTGGTGGTTTAATTCTGACCCATACCGATATTGATCAACCCCTGTTTATTGATATGAGGGTGGAGGCCCTTCCAGTGAGAAATCCCCACAACCAGGAACGCCCCCATACTAATAAACAGGGTTTATTAATCCGGGGTCAACACTACAGGGAAAACAACAGATTACTTCCGAACGAGTCGATTGGCACACAAAAAAAGTCAAACCCTGTTCGTTTGCCACTGGAAGGGTTTTCCCCAAAAGTATAAAGTTCAGGAACTCGGGAAAGCCATTCTTGGGGTCCAACCTAAACCCCAAATTGGGATCGCGTGTGCCTTTTTGGGGGTTCCGGAACAGCCTGCGCCTTTTTGGTGTCCCGTATGGCACACCAAAAAAGCTCAAGTCCAACAAAAAGATCACGGAAAATGTGGGTCCGAAGTTCCCGTTGTAGATCTGCAAATGACAAGTGCTACCGAATCCGGGAAACCCACGGTTGGTTGGGAAAAGCAAGGTGTCCCTTTAGGTCTTCTTCAACATCAATTCGAACGCAAACATTGATCTCCGCGAGAAAAACGCGTGAGAAGGGAATGGCAAAGTGTTTCACCGAAATAAAGCTGGCATCTCAACACATCAAGTGACCGTGCATCTGCTGAAAACGAATAACTCGGTGGGTCTGTCCGCGGCCGTCTTGAGTCGAGTCTTTCTGTTTCTTTCAAGGGCCAACACAAGCCAAAGCGACCCAGCTCGTATGAATGTGCCACTTTCTTCATATCACACCATCACCACGATAAACCGGAAGGGCATCATTCAAAGCAATCCCGTTTTTCTTTGTTTCAAAACCGGGGGACATCAAAACCTATGATCTTGCAGAGAAGTTTGGTCGGCCTTTGGACGAGCTGCAGCTTTTCAACGAATCGGCCGTTCAAGTCAAAGACTAAGCAGTCCTGGCAGGACCCAGCAAACCCAGACTGACTACCGGAACAGCCACGTCCACCTCTTCGATGCCCTCAAAGTCAAGACCTTGTCTTCATACTAAGATGGCGCCTGCCTCCCACATCCAACCTTGTTCTGTCTCAAGCTAGTCGTACTCTTTGCACCTTGCTGCCTTTTCAAACCTGGCACAAGAAGTGGCAACACCTCACTTCGGCGGCTCTTCCCAAAAACAGCTTGCAAACCACCCCCCCCCCCAAAGCCCCAAAATCCCGAGGGTAGAGAAGTGCGGTCGTAAGCACAAGGGCAAACTGTTGGTTTTCCACTAAAACTGTCAACCCCAAAATTTGGTTTCCGTTCAAAGGAAACTCAGTGGTCCTTGAGTGTGATGAAGGACTCGCGGTCCTCCCCGCCGATCCGCTTGTCCACTAGCTTGCCTCAGGAATCCCATTCCATCCATGGGGGTCAGAAGGCCTGCAAGACTTCCCAGCCTTCGTAGTCTGCGTTGTCCTCTTCAGCTCCATGTTTTCCAGCACACCTGGGGCGATCAAATTTTGTTTTGGGGGTACCAACTTCTGTTTGGTGCTTCTAACAGGCGGAATGGAAAAAAAAACACAAGCACCCATTTTTGCGGGCCCAAACCCAAAAAAAAGACGCACCCCCATCGCATACATCGCACGCGTTGAGGGCCATGCCTGTAGGTAATGCGCACATAGCTGCCCATCTTGAATCCTGGCAGCGTGGCCTTCCGAAGCCCCACTGCACTTCGCTCCCAAAGCGCCAGATATTATTATTATTATTTTTTTTGTTTTATCAAGACTGGGGCCCCGGATTTGTTTTTTTTCGACGTTCCGAAGCAAAGAATTCCTTTACCACAGAGGCCTTTCAAAACCTGAGTCTATTGTAAAATTCATGGGACCCTTGACGTTTTTCGGGCCCTTTTCGCGCCTCTGGTCGGCATGCGGCGGTTGCTGATCGGCTTGGTGCGGACCAACCCCGCCTGCCAGGCTACGATACCCAAGCTGACATGGGTTGCTATGTGAACCTAACCTGCCACCCGAAAAAAGCTTCCGTAGCCGTAGACCCCTTCCTAACTCCTGAAATCGATGGCACTGGTAAATGATTCGAACAAGCTGATCCAATCTTAGCACACAAGGCTTCAAATGTTATGCGAGCAAGGAGTCTTAGCCATATTCCCCTGACCTCTTTCAACTCGCAAGGTCCCTGACTGTTTGGAAGACATGGGTCGAAATATAAAGATGTCTCTTTGTGAGGGGACCCTGTTTTGGCAAAGGGACACCTAAAGGCATGCAGCCCATCGGTCCGCCACAAAATGGACGAGCCACCCAAATGAAAGCCGGGCCTGGCCACCCATTGGGCCCGACATCGCTCGCCAACTGCACCTCGCGGTTCGTTTGTTTCGGTCCAAAGCGCCCAACAGGTCCCCAAATGTCCGGAAATTCCCGACGAAAGCGGCCGAACAATGGGGGTGGCCCATGAGACGGGTTTCGGCCAGGGCTGTGGGGAATGGAATCCACTTCTGTGATACAACAGAAAGGGCCTTCCAAAGACTAATTTGATCACAGAAACGGGCATTCCCTTGTATCACAGAAGTGGGGCTAAACCCCTTGATCACACAACCCTGGTTTCGGCCATTTGACAAAGATATAGGTAGCACCGCACCCGAAACATAGAACCAGAAGTCTCATTGATGTACCGACTGCATCGAAACATACAGTCTTGCAAAAGGCGTCAGACTTCCATGCTGCTGGACTCGTCGCGTTTTACGTGGCTTGTGCCTCTGTGTCATCCTTGTATTCAATGCCAAAGGGATCCAGCCCCATGCTGATCCCCTCACAAAAACCAACAATTGATTGAAAGAGTCACAGGGTATTGAGGTGGCGCGTCCAAGAAGTTTCGCAACAAACCACCCCTTGAAACCAGCCGCTTGAAGGCCTCGAAAGATTGACACCCAAAGCTGACTGCTTCCATGCTCGGGCCTTGCCTCAGTGAGCCCAACCTGCTTGCCAGGTCCGATAAATTTCAGGACAAAATGGCGATGTGCGTGGTTGTTCTGAGGATAAGAGTCCTTGTCAGTTGAACTAAGCGGGAAGGTCCCAGAGCCTCCAAACCCCCAATCCACACCACAAGTTGTCTTCAAGGCATTGCCTGAATGCTTGCTGCTCGCTTTTGGTGGGCATCACGACCAAACATGCTTGCATGTTTCCGCCCAAAACAATGACCTTGCCCCCGCTGCAAAAGTCTACTCCCAAGACGACCACGTAGAGTTCAGCAACATCTTGTCTCCTGTACACACGATCCAAGGATTTGTGTGACGAACCACCGTGAACTAGCTCAAGGTCCACGAAAGATTTGCCTCCCCGAGAGGTGCCCGGGCCTGAACACCCATCCAATTGGCTAAGGAGCCGCTTTCAATAGCTTCAAAATTTCCCCAACGTCGGCTTGATTGCTGCGTTCGTCCACGAGATTTGGAGTTGCCCTGGATTGCACATGTGTTTTGTTGTTCTGTAACCAGGGCCCGCACGCGCTGTGCAGGCACACTGCTGGGCAAACGAAGTTGTTGGTCCCGAATACATGACGTCGGGCTTGTGCCAAACACTGCAGTCAAATCCGCACAAGTCGTTCCAAACCTTTGCATGAAGCATGTCCTGCGCAAGCACTTGGCTTCTTCGCATTGCTACGGAGCGGAGCAGTTTCCTCCTGGCAGGAAACATTGCAAGTCAACGTGGTGAATGAAACGCAAGAAACTGCCAGTCACGGGTGAAGACGAATAAACCGGCGTGAGCTATCATGAACTTACAGACCTGAAATAAGGATCACGATGGGTGTGATCGCAATCCCCCTGACTGTGAAGTGGCTCTGCTGTGTCCAGCTCAAACGCATCCAGGTGTTCCTCAAAAACATCCTCGAAAATCCTCGTCCCCTGTTTGGAAGAAGCGGACACCAAAAGGAAACCGACCTCTTGAGAAGGCCCAATGCCGAACCCTTTCATGGCCCAACGGTTCCACTTTCTTCCGCTCGCTCGCTTTTCATGGGTGCCAGCTCATGGCTTCTGCTCCAGGCCTGCGGACACTGGGAGGGAACTCATGTGAGCAATGGGTCAAAATCCAAAAAGCCCGTACCCCCAGTGAACATCCCAATCCAAACACTAAAATAGACTAAATTGGGTGGTGCACCGAAAACTCCAAAATGGTACCATTGGCTTTGACCCACAACCATGTGAGCCATGGCAGAATGATCGAGGCTCTCTCATCTCAGCTGTCCTACTGTGGGTGGTTGCGAAATGTTGGTTGGTGTGAAGCCATTGTTGGTTTGTATTTGCAGTTGAATCGAATCATTCCAGGGTTTCTGAACGGTGGTGCGACTTGGATTTTGTGCATCCACAGGAGGACAGCTGAGTCAAGAGTCCCCTGGTGTTTCTCGGAGATTTCGCTCGCCCATGTACACGTGCATCGTACCGAGGCCAAACACACAAACGCCCCTTATGATATTTATTGGAACCGGCATCTCTCGAGGGCGAACGCGTTCAGCGACCTGGCACTGGGTCCTCTAAGCGTAGCGCCGGGACAGGAAAGGGCACTAGAGTCGCTAGAGCGAAAGCACCGCAAGAAGGTCAAGACCAAAACAAAGAGGGTGCAGTCACGCAGAAGGCTGAAGCGGAAACTTTCTTTTTAGGACCCTTGCACTGACTGTGACTCGCAAACTTCCACACAAACATCGACTGAGCCAGCATAACCAGGTCCTCCAGTAGAGAGGATAGAATAAGGGTACCAACTTGCTTCTGTCTATTTTGGTAGGGGAACCCTCCCCGCAAAAAAGGGGCTAAGAAGGTCACTACTGGGGACCTAGATAATGAGGCATCCAAAGAGCTCCGAGTCTACTCCAAACCATCTCCCCATGCAAAACCCGTGAGAATCAGATCAATGCAATGCAACTCACTGACCGGCCTAGAAAGGGAGCCACCCTCCAAACGTGCGCACACAAAAAAAGAAGAAGACATATAATCCAAACAGAGCCCTCATGAAGTTCAAGGAATTGTTTGAATGAAGCAATAGAAAAGAACCAGAGGACAGTTTCTACGTTAACATGCAAATGAGTTCCCTTCGCACGACCTCAAGCGATCGACTCCTGTGTTAAATGTTTGTTTGAGTGACAATATTGAACATGACGTTGTGCCCATTGGCCGCACCTTCGTTTGTCCGCTTGTTCTGACTTTGCTCACCTCGCCTTGTAGCCCCTTGTATTCTGAGTCTTCGCGTATTTGCCCGGGGGGGGGGGGGGGATGAGACACTTTGCATGCAGTTTGCACCCCAGCGACCGCCAAACTCCTCGAAGTCCGAACTGCGCGCCTTTGGGCTTCTTGCCCGCCTCGCAGCAACAAAAACAAAAAGAACACGGGGGGTCGCAAAACGGCTCGAGCCTCTGGATCTTGTAACAGGCACTGGGATTTTCTCCAAACCCACTGTTGCATCAGAAAGCTGGCTTCCATTGCAACGATCGCCACTCAGTGCTCGCCACTTTTAGAGGGTCCAACAAGAGAAATGGAAAGAAGATTCGGAATCCTCCGAAACGGGCCCGAAAAGCACAACACATGAAACCTGGTTGCTTGGACACCAAGAGGATCTCAGCTGCCCCCCTCAAAATGGATTTGTTCTAGGGCACCGTGACTGGGAGAAGGATGGAGCCGGCACTGGTTTGCAAGGATTGCAACTCTTGTCTCAAAGGCTGGTTCAAAGGTGTGACCATCGGTCACCAGTTGGAAACCAGGTAGATAAACCAAAACAAACCATTGGCAACCGGTTGAGTCACTAAGACCTCCGAGAAGGCTGCGGTCTCTCACGGATGTGCCTTATCGGCTTGCCAAAGTGATCTCCATGCCTACTCCGTTTTTTGAAGAGAGCACTCAGAACATCCCTACTTGGTTTCCCAGCAACGCCTCCTCCCCGAGCAACTCAACTTCCAAAACCGTGCTGCATGAAGGGTTGTCCTGATCTTGGAAAAAGGATGGACACCTCATCATTGCCATTGCCGGGGACTCAAACACCGCGTTCTTTGTCGGTTTTGAAGGGAGAGCAGACCAAGGGATTCGCAAAAAAAGGACGCGTTTAGTGCCAACACACCGCCCCCCATACATGAACCATTGGTGTCAACTTTGGGCGGCTGAAGCACACCCACATAAAACTACACAGATCTCAAGGTCCAATATCTCTTTGTATCACCTGCCCATGACTAACCCCATGTCAGCCCCAACTACCAGAAAGTAGCTGGGATCTCTGCCCTTGGTTGTCATGCTCGGAGAAGTAACCCAGCATATGTGTTTCAAGATTCAGGCATGCTTTGAAACAACGTAAGACAGGCTCCAGATTGATCATAGCTGCCAAATGCCAAGAACTAGAAAGCCATAGAAGGGCAGTCCAGCATGCCAAGGGTAAAACCTCCACATGGAGTCATTTTTCAATTCTGTGCTTGTTTGTTTGTTCGTTTCGGTTGTTTGTTTGTTTGCTTGTCTGTTTGTCTGTTTGTCTTGGGAGGGGGTTGGTTAATCTGCGGGGAAGAAACCATGCACAGTGGGCCAAGGGTTAGCCCCCCGTCACCAGCCCGCCTGCGGCTGGCCCTCGCCTCCTGCGCCCGGGAAAAAACGGCTGTGAGTCAGACATATGTACCCAAAATTCTAAGGGTTTTTGTATTACACCCTATACACCCACTGGGTATTGACCCCATCTAGGCACATGTCCGGATAAAACCGGGTTCGTGTGGATGGACGTAGTCCGTTCGCACCACTTTGAAAGCATGGTTGAAGCCATTGTTGGATGATTCCGGGACTTCTCAGGTGGTGCAGGATCTCGTCCATGCACAGTAGGTGCCCAAAATGGCTTGCCGTGGTAAATGGACACATGCGCTAAGATCTGCGGTCCAATTCCTGGTGGCTTAATTTTGACCCATACCCAGATATTAAAAAAAGAAGGAACAGCGCTTCTTTGGGCCTGTGAAAAGCTTTAACTAATTTTCAGCTTCCCTCTTTCGTGGTGTAGAATATTACCTTTGGGCCAATTTAAGGGGAAGGGTCCCTCTGATGGGTGTCTTGGAGCCCGTTGGTTTGGTGAAAGGGAGGGGTAAACCCCATGTACCCCCGGGTGCAAGGGTCAAATCCCAAACCACCAATCCAAACCACCAACTAAGGGTTGCCTGAAATTTGGTGCTTCCCAACAGTCTTCCCAACGTAGGGAACTTCTGACCGTTGGTTTCTGCTTGATTCCGTTAAGGAAGCCGCCATCCATTGGTGCGAAGCAAAAGGAGACCAATCGTTGGACCAAACAACAGGCTCGCAAGGTGAAAGCCAATGATGCCTTTGTCATCAGTACATTGAAGAACGCCTTTTCCACACATGTCCGAGCACGAATGCTTCGTGAGTTCAACTTATGAAACATAAACAGGACTCTTCAGGGTTTTAGGTCGCGCCCTTTGAGCCTATGGCACCTCTCAGACGTGCTACAAACAGGACATTGTACAAATCGGGTTGGCTTGCAAAAGCTGGCAAAAGAGCTTCGACGTCCATTCCACAGCCCGGTACTCACATGTTCTCCAGCTGGTTGGTTGCTTTGAACTGACGGTGCCTGCTATCCCACGGTGGTTCAACCAAGCCTTCATATGCCAAAATCTTGTGCCTTCCGTCAGCAAAGCTTGGCATATTGCTTTGCTTTGAGGAACCTCGCTTTGGCGCATGAAAGGGTGGACACCTCGAATAGTCTCAAAGATCAGAAGCCAGCGTACGATGAACGCAGAGCTGAGAACTTGCAACTTTCTCGAAGGGTCGTGGAGAACTGATGATGTTCAGTATGCTGTCCAGAATGAAATTATCGTTTTGCATACTCTCCCATGTTGCCTTCACGGGCGCATTGTGGCTGTAGTTGTCAATCACCGTGCCTTCACGACTCAAAGGACTACAGGGCAAGCCTGATCACATGCTGCTGACAGAATGGCAGACTGTGTCAAACCTTGTTACAATCCATTTGGGGTGCGCTTCAAAACGTAAACGACGTCAAACACAATATGAAACCAACTAGCCCTGGCACCTACTGCTGTTGAGCCTCCCATGTGCGAACAAGACGGCAAGGCCCCCCAAGCAACACTGCGTCGGACGAGCCACATCAACAAAACATGATTTTGGATTGAACCATAACGTTCAGTACAGAACTCACATTCACGCACACCCTCAAGTTGCAATCGCCATTGCCACTTCAGTTTCAGATTCGACTTGAGTGGCCATGTATATGTCTGACATATTCCAACTGTGTCATGGTCATCGCTCTTGCTTGGTGCTGGAAATCGTCTCCTTGTTCCTGTGTGGCATCCGTTGACAGGCTCGCACAAGTCCCGCTGACTCCCCTTGCCCCAAGGACCAAGAAAGCAGCGAAACTCTGTTGGCCCAAACCTGCCTCTGATGACTTTAACGGCAATGAGGGGGGTTGAAGAGAACTCAGAATGACCCTAATCAGCGGGGCTCGCACACCCTGGATTTGATTCGGAATCCATCTGACAGAGCTTATGCATCGTACATCTTATAGACTGCCACAAATGGATGCTTAATAATAGGCTGAAT